CCAGGAGGGACTTGTGAATGTAGTCAGGGGGAGGGCCAAGGAAAATCTTCAGGGTCTGGCCTCGGCTCCAAAAAATGAGGCACCTAACTGAGTTGTCATGGTGAGAATGTGCCATCACAAGAGTGGAATTGCTGATACACTGAGCCCATAGATAACTCCTAAGCCAGCACATCAGTACAGTCATTTAACCCGAGAGAACTTTCACCGGGTGGAGGCGGTAGGATGTGCCTGCCCTTCATAGGAAGCCCAAGTTCCATCAGAAGCTGACTTCATGAGCACAGACGAGAGGACATCAGCTGTATGACTTGAATGTGCGGTGACGCCAGGCTGTGGGAGCCTCATGTATGGATCTCAATAGAGTCATACTTCCTTCTTGGGCCCATGGGCCAGGGCAACCATGCCATACCAATATGTGTGAAGAGGTGGGGACACAGCTGAACAGCACTGGACTGTGAACCTCAAGGTCGGCAGTTCAAGCCCACCAGCTGCTCCTCAAAGGCCCTATATAGGGTCTTTGCTATGAGTCGGAACCAATGCAATGGCACCAAGCAACAACAACAGGTTGACTCAGGTTCTTTTATACCCTTGTTGTTGTTGTTGTTGTTAAGTGCCATCAAGTCAATCCCACCCATAGCGACCCTGTATAGGGTTTCTGAGGAGCAGCTGGTGAGCTTGAACTGACGACCTTGCAGTTCAAACAGCTTTGCAGTCTGGTGCATTAACCCACAACGCCACACCAGGACTCCTTTATTCCTTTAGAGCTACTTTATATTGTTCTGCTGATTCAGTTTACATCATTCAATCACACAATTGGACTCAAGACCTCCTTATCTCTTGTGGGAAAGAGGCATTTGAGAGGTGCTGCCCACATCTACAATCTAACTATGATAATTGACCCACAGGCCTGAGTTTTGTGTCACCTTGTCTACACTGAGAAAGCGAAACAAGGTGCATTCCATGGAAAATCACCAGGTGAGGGGCATTATGTTAGTCCTACACAAAGTCCTCACTATTTTCCTCAGAACAATGCCATGAGAACAAGCTAAAGGTGCAGTCTCTGAACACTCGGGGCCAGAAGATTCCCAGAGCCCATAAACAGCTAAATGGGGTGACATATGTATGTAAAAGCTAGGGAACCCAACTTCCTCACCGGAACATTAATCGTGTTTGATTTCAATCTCTTACGCATGTATGGCTGGATGTTTTATTTCCATTAGCTGTGGCCTTTTGAAAGTGAACAAAGTTAGTTGTGGTTTAACTGTCCTTTTTTTTTTTTTTTTTTTTTTTCTTAGAATTATGTGATCGCTTACATGGGAGAACATTAGCTTTACATTCATCCTATCGTAGATCGTTTTTTTTTTTTTTTTTTTTTGTCTTACAACACTCTAGCCACTCCTCACACAGCCCCAATTAGGGGCTGGTTTACCTTTGAGCATTTTCCACGAATCAACCACATTCATCAGAACACATAAACAAAAGAAGCCTGAGAAAATAAAACCATCAGCCACACTGCCGGTCTCCCACAAGCCACTTGCCCCCTCTACCACTCTTACCACCCCAGGCCCCCTACACCTCCTAGCATAAGGGCAGCCATGGTTGAGTTGGGGAAGGAAGATGCTAAGAAATGTGAAATAGTGGAGACACTACTTCATACCTCCTACCAGTAAAATCAGCTTCACAAAACTTTAAATGATTTCAAAGTTTGCATCTTTACTTTTCCAATGCAGAAATAGCTCTGAATCTAAATAGAAATCTAATCAAATTTATGAGAATCAAATCTAAATTCAATTTAATCTCTCTTGTATTTGGTTCATCTTGTTTCTAAATGGGAACTCTGTGTTTGGCTTCCAAAGAAATCTGTTTCACAGCAATACTGAAGCTGGCTCAAAAACAAATTTTGCTGAGTGCTATCAGGTTGGTTCTGACTCAGTGACACTGTATAGGGTTTCTATTGAGCAGCTGGTGGGCCTGAACTGCCTACCATGTGGTTAGCAGTCCATCACTTATTCCTTATTCTATAGAGTAAGATGTTTTAGCCTTAATGCACAGATGTTTTTGCTTAAAAAGTAATAGAAAAATAAACAATCACTTGTTATTTTTCAACTCACTTATCTACCCATTTAGGGTGGTGCTATGGGATAAGCACTCAACTGCTAACCGCAAGTTTAGCTCAAACCCACCAGCGGCTCCATAGGAGAAAGATGGGCTGTTTTTTCCTGGAGTCACTATGAGTCGGAATTGGCTTAAACGTAGTGGAACTACCCACTGAACTTTTTA